GCTTTAAGAACGAAAAAGCAATGACTTAAACACTAGACAATTTGAAGATTATACAGTCATCAGTTGAATATCAAGTCATAAAACAAGAATCAAGCTCACTTGTTTGTTTAACAGATACGAATTCGAAAATGCGAACATGTCAAATTATACGAAGGAAAAGCATGTACAATAGACCTTTTTGCTTTATCGGTATTTTCAAAATCCGTGCACCCTAGAACAAAGGGTGATAATTATTTGCCCGTGGAATGTGGTTTTCTTTGTTTAAGATATAATTGATATGCGTAAACCCTGGTGAACGAGCACTTGTACGGTGTTGTGTTTGGACGAAAGAAAGCTTTATAATGGACGGTTTCTACGAATATTCTTTATTCCCTCAGGTAAAGTATATTTTTCTTGAACGGTCATTATTGATATTATTACAAACCACTTTTAACTATGTACGAACGTTAACCATTTACTCCATAAGTACACAATAAATAGTCAGCTTGATTCAATACCAAAGTCACCCGGATAGCACAGAAATAAGATTATATCTCTCCCTTCTGTCTTCTTGCAGACTTCGCAGTGCGTCGGAAACGAAAGATCCTATGTCAGAGCATCGATGGGAGAAGACAACCTAGTGCTAGAGGCTGCAAACATCTATGGGAGAAACGACTATCAAAAAATAATTCAACACGTGGAAAACAGGATGTTCCAACTACCGTTGCTAACAAAAAACTTTTACAGGACTTCGAAGTTTGCCCAAAAACGAGAGAGAGTATACAGAAGGTTGAAGCAGTTAATTGATTCTAGGTAAACATAACAGTACTAGTACACCTACACACTGAATCTGTATGGCCTGCAGTGGTTTTCACTAGCAGCGCGGCAAACGCAAGCATTAGCTAGGGTTAATTTCAGAGTGAAAACGGGACGTTTATAAGCGCAAGTTCACTATATTTACTAGTGCACAAGCAAAAGCCCTAGCGTAAGAAATAAGGCAAAGTTTTGCTATCTTGCGCTTGCGTTATCGCAGCGTTGGGCGGTTTTCACTACGAAATAAGGTCTCTTGCGTTGCGCTTGCGTCGCTAGTGAAAACCGGCCTTATAAATTATGATCGTTCATTCACACTACAAATGTTTGTTGTTGTTTTTGTTTTTGTGAAGGAAAACCATAGAGGATAAATGGATACCAGCCCGCGTTACAAATGTAACAGCACCAACTGCCACAGTCCCACGAATGTCTGCGACTTCAACTGTAGTGCGCGAAATTGAGAAGCAGGATTCTCGCTACTTGTATTCCATGCAGGAAACTGGTTCAAATGCAAGCCCAATGTCCATTGTGGCAGCTTCAAGAACAGCGGACATAAAGTACAGAAAAGAGGCTGAAAAGAGGAAAAGAGAAGAACAGGAAGACGTCGATACCGAAGAAGATCAACCAAAGAAAAGGCAGAGGTAAAAACCGAGCCGGCTAAGATTAATTATTGGCTAAAGTCCAAGCAGTGCTTTTGGGGTTTTTAAGACAATGATTACCTACGATAAGAATATATCAGGAGTAAAGACTTCAATTTTAGGACTTAATTGGTACCGCAAAGTGGGAAAGAAAATATTATATTGCCACAAAGATTTTTTAAATTTCCGACGAGAACCGTACCACGCCCTTTGATATGGTTTCATGTGGACCATGAAAGGCAAAGGCACGTTTCTAATTGCTCTCTGGATTTCAAGCTTTTTCTACCCCTACGTTGTTCTATACAACGCTAGAAG